TGTGTTCTTCCTTCGGGGCTCACACGAGGCGTTGGTCAGACGGGAATATCGCAGCCTTTTTGGCCACCGTTATAACATGACCGATGACATTTTTAGTGCACATCACCTTCCTCAATAGCAAATCTTGGTATGCGACCCACCGTGTTCGATCTAAACTGGAGCTTAAGGGTGACATAGGACATTATACTCCCTCCGGTAATAAAAAATATATAAGTGAATGGAAACGAATGTCAAGTTCTCTGTCGGGGAATTTATTATGTGCTGTTTGTGTTTATTACTGGCAGCAAACAGAGATTCGTATATGTCTGTGCCAGTTACGGTTAATCAATCGATTGACGTTTGCTTCTTTGCCTCTAATGAGTTGACCCATGAAAGTCGTCAACCTCCAAGTAAGCCTCGTAAGCAAGACGATATTAATGGACTTGGTGGCACTTCTGAAGCAATCACTCTTCGTGGTGGCTTCCCAATGTGGAGAATTCATGCATGCGTAGAAGCCTACAGCGCATGTTTAAAAGTGCTAGACACATAGCTGAATAAGTCCGAAATGGTGTGGCTTGTTTCTTTAGGGCCTACCTTTTACTCCAGCCTTATTTTCTTCTACCCTTTCATTCCTGCTATATTTTTATTATGATGACTTTTACTCGATGGATTAGACACCTTGAGTGGACCTGTTTTCCTTCAGAACATTGTTTAATTATGTATTCTACCTGATTCCTGTCATTCACTTTTCTCCCTCTCACCCCCTGTGGACAATTAGATAGTCTAGCGGCACTTCTCCTCTCACTGGGCGAGATCGTTCCCCAGACCGCGGCCAAAAGTCTCTCCCTTCTTTCCCTCTTGACGGTCTACAGTGCCCGGATGACTGTCTGTGGTAAGTGAGCCCCTTTTCTTGTCAATTCTGATAATGCGTACGCTGTAGTCTTTCTCTGCCCTTGCAATTTACAAGTGCTTTCAAGCACAATAGTAGATTGTTCAGGTAGAGCTATTTATCAGCGCTTGAAATCAATTTAATTTTGAAACAATAGGGGGTGCGCAGTCGGCACGCTCTTATGATGTATTTGCGGGAGCTTTAGGCTTGAGAACGTAGGGCAACCACCTATTAGCTTGAAGTGGATTTCGAAAGAGGCGAGGGAAACTGGAATAGCCACTTCTAATCTTTTAGCCAGCTTTTTCCTGACTTGCGTTTTGGATAATCCAGAACTCACTCCTGGACCTATTGGCTCGACGTGGCTGAATCGAAATTTGCCAGAACATGATAGACCTCGCCTTGAAGTGCGTTCACGAAATGTTAAGTTTCATCCAGAGTTTATTGCCGAAGCTGTTTTCCAGGAAGCATTTTCGGAAATTCCGAACCAAGTTCTTATCGCGTCTGTATTCATATTTAGCTGATTTTGAGCATTTTGTTATCTGTTTCATTTCCGTACCCCTGGTGCCTTTTTACAGAAGCGTATGTTCATTCTTTATAGACACGAACCTCCTGCAGTTGATGTACATTCTCGACTCCTCTGGCCAGCCACTAACGAATATTTGGTAAGAGTCAGTGCTTTCCTCCATTCTTTTGCTGCCTTTCTTTTCTCACGCGCGGTCAATAAGGACCTCGTTCCCGAGGTCACAGTGTTGCTTTGTGCGTGGATTAGCTTGTAGTGAGGTGGACTTCCGCGGCATCGATGCCGCTGTATCTTCACTCATCTAGTCCAATTGCCAAGACAAAGTTGAACGACTCGAGCTGGCTGTGAGCGCAGTGTGGCTGACGTGAAACTTACCGAAACCAAGCTTTAAAACGGGGCAGTAGAGCTCACATAGGTGTTATTTGCTATACCGAGGAGCCATTGCATCCTACTCCTCAGTCCGGAAAAGGACCTTTTTATCCCATTAGTTGTAATCCATTCGAGAACTGACTTTTGGTGTTCATATCTTTACCTAAGCGGGGAGAGGGTATGATGCAAATCCGCTTATCAGTGATAAAACCGAGCCAGATGGAGTGGAGATGGGATTGAGTACATTGCGTAGTGTGTCGTAAAACCTCTTTCTAAAGCATGTCACAGGAACGTGTGGCCTCTCTGTAGGCCTAGCAAAACACCGCAGCCCGGTTTCAGGCGCTCTCGACAGTTCGACCGTCGGTTTCGACTATGTCCATTGTGTGCTTTACAACAATTTCGTGCAAGGACGGGGACTTGCGTTGCATTTACCTCACTCTCTTCCTACTCCCAATCTGGGCCCGGTGTCAAAAAGACCGAGGATTGGAGAGAGAGCGATCTCACACACGTATGATGTCCTTTTCTCCTATTTGCACGAAATATCCCGACGAATTTCCGTCCATTATGCGTGTTCCGAGCCTCCTTATAAAGTTGTTTCTACCGGCCTGCTACCGCATAAACCACTTAGGGCTCAAACTATTTGGGCCCCTCTTGTTTTTTCTATTCTCCTATTTTGTCTCTGATTTGCCGTCTGTTTTCTCGGCATCGCCTGTATCTCATGGCCAGTATTAAGGTACTACTACGCTAGCTGCCTAGAACTTTTAAAGTACTGCCGATAGAAATACCTTGAATGTCTGTGGTTTACCTAGTTTTGCAGACCCCGTGTCGCAGGATTTGAGGGCAACTGAATTGGCAGTCATAGCATACGCTAGTGCACAAGAGCTAGTGGGAGACAAGTTGGCTAGTGCGGTTGACCAGTTTTCATCACAGTTCCAAGTAAAACAGCAAATAACATCACCTTTGTCCTCTTTCTAACTGTATTCCCTCACCCTAACTAAATAGCCTCCATTTCTGTTGATACAACGGTCCAATTTGCTATCAAACGAGGTAATCCGCCCATAACTTGCTCCTGTACCTCCCATTAGTTTTCCCTTCTGAGTAGAAACCTTCTTGAGACTCCAACTTGACTCACAATTCAATACTCAGTACTCTAGGTGCGCGGCTCCTCGATGTTCCTAATGTACATCTGTCTTTATTTCGGTGAAATGTATAGGGTGTTTTGACAGGGTCAATCGCTTCTTCGCAAAACGACCATTTGTGCCAGGTAGTTATACCACTGTGTCTATATTTTGCATCCAAAGACCTGTGTTGATCGAAGTTGTCACACACACCGGTAGCCGTTTAGACCGAAGGGCACCGGTCCAATTAGAGCGGCCGGTGAGCCTGTCAGACACCGATTAATTTTTCTGCCACATCTGATCCGCTTATAGATTAGTGATCAACCGTGTCGTGACACGCGCCGATGGAGGCTTTATTCTATAATGATCACTGATCTTGACCCCATATTACGTAGCCATTTGAATGGACTGTGATCGTCTGGTAAGAGGAGCTTAGGTAAATGCTTCGTTAGCCACATACTCGCAGTCATCGTCGCGTTTGATGAAAGAGCTGTCGTGTTGTTAGCTCTGGCTGACTCCATCGGCGATATGGTTGCTTCTCGCTTATTTTTCCCCCTTTTTGGTAATTCCTTGTGACCCTACCCCGCCTCTTCTTGTTGTGTAGGGGCATGACGAACGGCTGTC